CGGTTGGGAGAATCCACAGCCTTCCTGAGATTCTCATTAGGGTCGAAGATCCAAAGAAAGGCAGAACAGCCGACAAACCTTCCCTACATAAAAGCGAAAGTACAAGGAAAGCTGAGTGATGGCGGCTCCGGAGCTACGGCCGGAGGGCGGACCGACGGCAGGAGATCTAGTACTCACGCCCGCTTCTTGAGGTGATGCCGTGTGATCAGCCCTTCGTCTATCACAGCCCCGACCACCTGATGCCTCAGTCGCTTCTCCCGGTTCAACACCCGCCGGCGCTTGAACAGCTTCTTCTTCAGCTCCTGCAAGGGATAAAGATGCGAATCAGGCTGAGGCCGCGCACGAACACAGATACCCAGAGCCACCACCGCGGCGATCCCAGTCCCCCATCAATCCCATCTCGGGCGACAGAAGAGGGCTCCCGGAAGCTTGGAGAAACAAAGCAGCAATCCCACAAAAATCACCGTTCGAGGCCGGTTGATCTTCCCCCCTGGACCCCCCATGAGTGCGTCCCCTCGCGCGTCCCGGGCACGCACTTCCGCTTCACGCCACTGCCCCAGGGCTCCACCCCCGCCCTCCGCGAGCCAATCGGAGCTGGGGGGGGGCGGTTCTGGGCGTATATAAGGGAGCTCGACGGGGTTTGCTTCCTTTCGGAGAGCAACTACCCAGTAAGTGTGGGCTGTTCCCTGGGAGCAGGAGGCTTAGCTGAGGTGGTTGTGGGTGGGCTTGCGGGCCTCCTTTTCTTGGCGGAAACCAGGCGTGCGGTCCTGCTTCCCGTTATGTACGGAGGCAGAAGGAAAGGATTCTGTCCCCTCGGCGTCATGTCTTCGGTGCCGGCGGTTTCCTGTCTGCCGGTTCTATCCTCAAGCGCCGAGACAAGGTTCTCCTAGGAGCAGCACAGGACTGAGGTCCAGCGGTCTGACAGGGTGCTCACGCCATCTTCTTTGGTTTCAGATCTGCGAATACCACCGCAGGAGCGTGAGCTGTCGTCTACCCTCTCTTCCATTCACCATTGCAACCAATAAAAGCTGTTCTTACTGGTAAATCTGTGTGCGTTTTTTGTTGTTTCGGTTTTTGTTATTTTTTTCCCTTCGAGGCTGCGGATTTTGGAAAGGCTGTACGCGTTTTTCAGTGACACGGAATTTGCGGATCTTCCCTTGAGCTCAGGCCTTGTAGCAGTTCAGAGTGCACTTAACCTCAAGGTTCTTAGGCTGACCTTGACTTTGCCGGGACCTCCGGATGGCTGCGCTGCGCCGAAAACTCCTACTCTTGGGGCCCAGCCGCGCCTTGGCGGGTAAGAAAGATAAGTTCCTAGTGACCTGGGAGGTCTAGTACCTGGAATTGTGGCTTTTAAAACCCCCGATAGCTYTACGCACTTGTACAAGTCCCTTCTCTCATACATAGGCGCTGTTTTTTGCAGCGGTGAGATAGAACTCCAGCACTGGTGACACATACCTTCCTCCACCCTTGTTCATAGGTTCCCTGGCCAGTAGTTGCCTGGCAGACCGCTGYCTCTGGGATCGGCTCCATGCTCAGCCTCTGGGCAAAGGCCCTACCTTTGACTGGTTCTTTGGATACGAGGAAGTTCAGGAACTCCTACTATCACTACTGCAAAAGGCACCAGATGCCTCTCCACCGCGGGTGCTGGATGTGGGCTGTGGTACCTCAAGCCTATGCACAGGYCTCTACACCCAGTCCCCATACCCTGTCAGTATTCTAGGGGTGGACTTCTCCCCTKTGGCTGTGGCCCATATGAACAACCTTCTGCAGGGTGGCCAAGGTCAAACACCCCTATGCCCTGGGCACCCTGACTCCCGCCTCCATTTTATGCAGGCTGATGCCCAGAATCTGGGGCCTGTGGCTGCCTCAGGCTCCTTCCAGCTATTGCTGGACAAGGGCACCTGGGATGCTGTTGCACGTGGTGGTCTGCCTGGAGCTCACCAGCTGCTATCAGAATGTTTGAGGGTCCTAAGCCCCAAAGGGACCCTAATTCAATTCTCAGATGAGGACCCTGATGTGCGACTGCCCTGCCTAGAGCAAAGATCTCATGGTAGAACTGTGACTGTGCAGGAGTTAGGCCCTTTCAGGGGCATTACCTACTTTGCTTATTTTGTTAAAGGCTCTCATTAAAGATTGTCTTAACCATAGTGTTCTGTTGGAAAGAGCTTCATCTTGGGAATATGCATGGCTGAGCTGGGCATGATGGCACATGCCTGTAATCCCAGTGGTTTTAGAGGCTGAAGSAAGAGGATCTTGACTTCAAAGCCAGACTCAGCAAAGGCAAGGCACTAAGCAATTCAATACAAACTAGGGCTGGGGATGTGGTGCCCATGAATTCAATCCCCAGTACTGCCCCCTCCTC